CATCCAGGGTCACCAGCCGGGAGTGGAGCTCCAGCTGGAGCCCTGTCCAGGGGAGCCCAGAGGTTCCTGGGGTCGAGCCACCTGGCGGGACATTTCCACTCCTCCTGGTCCCCTTCATTTTCCCACCCGGGTTTGTTTGCTTTGGGAAGGAGCCCAGAAGGAAGAAAACCAACAGCAGCTGGGTCGGCCTGACCTGAACCTCCCCCACCCCCCCGGCCAGTCCTGGCGACAGCCTGGGCTGTCCTCCAGACCGGAAGTGAGGGTTTTCCTCCGGAAGCCCAGGATGGGCTCCTCTGTCTTCTCTGTCCCCAGGGCCCTGGCCATGCATGGCGCCGGCTTCAGTCTCTGCCCCCTTGGAATGACCAGTCTTCGCGGGGAGACCATAGTCTCTGCCAAGGAATCTCTAGTGTGTGGGGGTTTCCTCCTGGAGCCGCCAGTCTAAGGGGAGAGGCCTAGTTGGGAAGCCCCAGCTTGATGGGGGAGGCAGCTTTCTCGAGGGAAGAAGTCATGTCTGTCTCTGTACTTTTCTAGAATCTGTTTCCATCTGTGCTTGGGACCGCTGGCCAAATCTCAGCTGGAGCCAGAGACAGAGTGGGGAAGGGTGGGGGCTGACCCTGCTGAGCCCAGCCTCTCCCCTGGGGCTGCTATGTGGGGAATGTCCATGCCTGGCTGGCCTGACCGCCCCTGGCTGCAGGGGGCAGCACATGTGAGTGGGGAGAGGGGCAGCACGTGTCTCCACCTGGCCTCCTCTCCTCTCCCAGGACCCGGACATGGCTCCTTACCCCCAGCCATGCCCCACTGCACCCCAGGGGCTCAGGCCTTGCCCTGGTCTGAGGGGTCAGGGAAAGGAAGCCTGGGTCACAAAAAGCAGGGTGGCTGCCAGGCACCTTGCCAGGTCTGTCTCTGCCAGCCTCCTCCTCTGCCATTTCTTTGTTTCTCTAAGAGAAGGATGCCTGCCTGGGCCTTTACTGTGACAGAGGGCTTCCATAGTCATGGGTGTGTGTTTGAGCCATAAGGAAATCGAGTGACTTGCCCAAGGGCAAACAGCCAGCGAGTGATGGGGCTGGATGGAGCCGTCTCTGACTCTTCATGCTCTCCCGCCCTGCGCGCAGCTCCCTTCCCCCGTCACTGTCTGAGCGGATGATCTAGGTCTGCATAGGCACCGGCCTCTCGCCCAAGGACCTTCTGGGCCCCAGGCCCTGCCTGCTCTTCTCGTCCTCTGCTGCAGTGTTTCGGAGCCTGGGTCCAGTACGCCTCTTGGCAGCCCCGTCCTGTCCCTATTTCCAGGTGTCTTCTTGACGCTTGGCACCCTGCAGCCCAGCCCAGCTGTGCCCGTCACTGACGGCGGGTGCTGGCGGGGGCAGGAGCCTGATGTAGCTCTGGTGGGAGTTATTTTTAATGTCAGGGCAGGGCCACACTCTGCCGGGACAGTCTTGGAGTTAGGGTGCCCACTGCCAGCCGGCTGGGTTGGCCGTGCTGGGGAGGAAGCAGGAATGAAGGGCAGGGTACGCCTCGTTGCTCGGAGATTCCTACAATGTGGACTGTGTTGGGGAAGAAGAGTCCTTTGCACACCCTCTCCAGGGCCCCGTCTTCTCTCTTCCCATCCCTGCGCTGTCCCCCACCCCACCCTGTGATCTCTGAGCTGGCTTCTTCCTTCCATGTTGCCAACAATAGAGCGTGTGCTAAACAAAGGCCCCCCATTCAGCTCAGACAACCGCCCTGTGTCTAGCTCTGCCCGTCTCTGGCCAGGGTGCATGGGCAGGGCCCACGTCTGTCTCGCCTGCTTCCACCCTGGCTCTGTCCAGGGGCGTTGTGACAGGTCTCACTCTAGGTCCAGGGTGGAGAGGGATGAGACCAAACTGGGTGCGGCCCCCTCCACCCTGGGAACTGCAAAAACAGCACTTTTGTTTCTTGTGGGAGAATTCCCCTGGTTCTCCTGGGGAGTAGGTAGGGAGAAAGGTGGGGCTGGTTGACAGTGCTGCCTGAGGTCTGACTTCTGGCCTTCCTGTTGCAGGAAGAGCTCTCCCCATGGTCTTTTCCTCAAGAAAAGTTCTGGTGTGTGTCCTCACTGAACTGCTTTCCAGCTCTGACCTTGCCCACCTGCAGCCTTCTCTTGTCTGTTGTGAGAATCCTGGTTCCTTATTGCTAGAATCTTAGACATCAATGTTCCTCTGAGATCACCTGGGCCACACAGGTGAAGCACAGAGAGGAAAGTAATTGCCCAAGGACACCCAGCAAGTTTGTGGCGGAGCTGGGACTAGAACCTGGGACTCCTGATTTCCCAGCTGCTCCTCTGCCTCCACCTGTGGCCTCTCCAGCCCCTCTTCCCCTTGGCGAGGGGGCTCAGCTCTACCCCCCCGCCCCGCCCCTCACTCTCCTCTGTGGCAGGGTGTCTGGCCCTCTCTCCTTGACCCCAGGGTGTCCCTCTTTCCCTGGATCCCCTGTGAGGAACGAGGGGAGCAGCCCTGTTTTGCGCAGGATTTGAGCAGCCCTGGATTTGAGCAGAGCGCCGCCCTTTTCTCAACATGGATCCTGTTTTCTCACCTAGAAGTTGGGAATAATAAAATGCCGGCTGGGGTCACTTCTAGGGAAGCAGGAGATTGATTTGACAGTAAAGACACTGGACGCCCCCTAACCCGATGGACACTTTCCCCTCTGTGTGGCCTCTGTCTCGCCCTGGGCGGCTGTCCAGCCCTCAGCTTCTCTTGGCTCCAGGCCTGGGCTGGCCGGGCAGTGAGGGGCCTGCTGAGGAAACACCTCACTGTGGCCAGCCTTGACCTCGGTGGACTTTGGACATGGGGCCAGTGAGAAGATAGTCCCTGAGGTTCCAGGCGAGGCCCACGCCCCTCCGGCCAGCTGAGAAGCCCCAGGGTTAGGCAGCCAGCCCTCCTGGGGAGGGGCCTTTTCGACTTGGATGGGGTGTTTTTCCTGATCCGGGCTGGAGATGTCCAGGTCGTCCTGAGCGGATCTGACTGCTGCTCGGCATCCAGACGTTGGCTCAGTCCTCCGCCCGGCGAAGTGGAATCTAAGGGGTTAATGTGACTGTATTTACTGAGGCAGCTTCACCTTCCTTCTCCTGCTTGGCTGTCCCAGGCCTCCTTCGAGCTCTGTGCCGGCTTGCTCCTCCCAGACTCTCCTCTATTTTCTCTCTCTCCAGGGAGGGCAGGGGTGCTGGGCAGTGTGTGTTTAGGGCGGGGGGAGGGGGCGCCTCCTGAAGTAGTCACACTTGACCAGTGCCTGGGAAGCAGCTGGACACATCTGGTGGCACCGAGCCTGCTGTCTGGTGTTCTGGGCCTGCTTCTGTTTACTGGCCCGAAACTCTGAGTCACTGGGGTGGTGCGAGCTGAGGGAGGAGGCAGCTGGAGCGGGCCTGGCTGCTGCCTCTGCCTGTTACAGGTGTGCTCACGGCAGGGGAGGAGCCGCGTGTCGCTGTAAAAGGCAGGAGACCTGAAGGATCCTTTGTCATCCTTCTTGAGGGTGGCACTGGGAAGACGTGCCCCTGGTGACCTTTGCTCCTGGAGTGGGGCCAGGCTGCACAGGCCACCCCACCCACGTCCTCACCCAGTCCCCCAACATAACAGGCTTGAGGTGCTGGGTGCTGCCGCCTCATGGGTGGACCAGCCTGGGGTCTGCTTGCTGTCTGAGGCCACACTGGGTGTGCAAAGCCCACAGACTTGGGTGTCACTCACGCCTGTGCCTGGGCCCGGCTCTGCTATTTCTCCACTGTGGCACTTCACCTGGTGCAGCCTCAGTTTCCCTGTCTGTCAATGAGGAACAGAGCATGTGCTTCAAAACCCACTAGTGAGGCTGGTGGCATTAGTGAGAGGTCTGGCACAAGGTGGGCCGTGCCTGGAGCACAGCTTCCCTGCCTCTGCTCCCAGGGGCTGGACTCCGGAGGTCAGCTCCCAAGACAGGGGAGCCAGACAGACCAAGTGGGAGTTCACCTTCCTGGTGCAGAGTAGGGCCCAGCTCTTCCTTAACCTCATGTGCCCCCCAGTCTCTGCAGAGAGAGGGAGGGGCGCCTGAAGAGCAGGGACCACCCGAGGCTTGCCCCACCCTATATCCCTGGCCCAAGTTCCAGAAGGCCAGGAGGTGAGAATACACCTTTGGGGAGAGGCAGTGCTGATGGCCACAGCGATGGCCACCAACATGGAGGTACATGGAATACGTACTATGTGCCAGGCACCATGCAGGGGCCTTACAAAGATGGTCCTTACAGCACCCTGCGGGCGAGGTGGTGCTATCCCATTTCAGATGAGGGCTGAGGCTCAGCGGAGAGCTGAATTGCCCTGGTAGTATGTGGCTGAGATTTGAAATGGTTGGTGGGACTCAGAATTTTGGGAAGGGCTTCTAGGAGCTGGAGAGACAGGGGTCTTAGGGCCTGGCCCTCTGGGGTCACTTGTGATGCTGCCCCATCTGTAGGAAAGTGAGATCCCGGGGTCTCTGAGAGAGCCTGGGGCACCTTCGCCTGCTCCCAGCAGCCTCCCTGGCTCCCCAGAGAAACCTGTCTGACTGCTTCCCTGCCCCACCCAGCTTCCTGTCCAGTGCCTGGGGTGCAGCTACCTCACCTCCACAGCCTTTCCCAGGGAGCCCCAGTTGGTGGGGGTGGGTTTGTGGGACCCCAGAAGCTGCTGGAGGCCCTGAGTGCCTTCTCCTGCTCTGGGAGTGCTGGGCAGGGTGAGTGAGCCCAGGGCTGCTTTGGGACATTTGGCCCTATACTGCCCCACCCCCCATGGGGTTCACCCGACTCTGGGCTGGAGGTCAGAGATGCAAGCCCAGAACTCACACACGGGTATCGCATCATGGGCAGTCTCTTCCTGGGCCTGGTGCCCTTCTGTCCATCACCTCCCTCCACTACAGCGCACTGGGGCCCTTGGGTCTATGGTGGGGGAAGGGGTGATGGGCAGGGCCTGGGGATGGGCTGAAGCTGGGGGCGGGGCCAGGTGATGGGATGCCCCACCAGGGCCAGCTGATTTCCCACCCCTCCTTTGTGTCCTCAGTGGCCACCATGGAGGTGATGAACCTGATCGAACAACCCATCAAGGTGACCGAGTGGCAACAGACATACACCTATGACTCCGGCATCCACTCGGGCGCCAACACCTGCGTGCCCTCAGTCAGCAGCAAGGGCATCATGGAGGACGATGAGGCCTGTGGGCGCCAGTACACGCTCAAGAAGACCACCACGTACACCCAGGGGGTGCCCCAGGGCCAAGGTCGGGATCCCTGGAGATTGTTCCATGAGAATATTCCAGCAGAAAATGAGGGTGGGCCCTGGAGGGAGGTCAGAGTAAAAGGAGGCAGAATTTAGGGGGCTCCCAGTCTGAGGGGGGAGGCATAGCTCCTGTTCTTAGAGACTCACCCAGTCTGAGGGAGGAGGCACAGCTCCTTCAGGGTGACCCCATCTGGGAGCGAGGCAGGTTCCTCTTCCATGAACCTCTAGTATGGAGGGGAGGCCTAAACCCTTCCCCACAGCCTGAAGGAAGAGGCCTGGGCCTTGTCTTCCATGAACTTGCAGTATGACAAGGAGGCATCACTACTGCTCTCAGAGAACCCCTGGTCTGTGGGGAAGACAATCCTTTTGCTCCAGGAGCCTCAAGTTTGATGGGCATGCAGAGCTCCGCCCTCAGGGAGCCCCCAGTCTGGTAGAGGAGGTGCAGTTTTCAGGCCTTGGGGCTCCCGGTTGGGGGCAGGGAGGAGACTGGTCTGCATATGCTGTTGTGCAAATAGGCCACGGCCGGGGCGTGGAGTGACCCACCCAGTTCTGGGGCTTCGTGAGGGGTGGGGATGACCCACCAGCCCCAGGCACCCTGCCTCTCTCCGGGAGACGAGTGTCCGGGTCCCAGCACTATTGTCCACAGACGCCTCCAGGGCTTCAGTGTTGCCACGGTGGGCTGTGGGAGCTGGGGAAGGTGCAAGGTGGGCTCTGGGAGCTGGGCCACCACACAGCTCAGCCTCTGCACGCGGAGGTCTCCTCCCTGAAGGCAGGCAGAGGCCTCTCGGCCTGGCACGGCCGGGCATTGTGTCGGCAGCTACAAGACCAGCATCAGGTGGGAAAGCCGTGTGGATGTCTCCTCCTTCCTGACTAATTGGAGGGTGGAGCCTCTGCCTCCCTCTCCCGGGGGCATCAGGACGCTTGCCAGGGCCAGGCTGCCTAGGAAGCTTGGCGCCTACTTGTGGGACTCCCAGAGCCACCCAGGGGTAGGACCTGGAGTCTGGGCTGAGAACCCCCTCCTGCTTTTGGAAACCACAGTCTTGGCTTTCCCTCTGATACTGGGCGACCCTCTGGGCCTCTATGTGCCTGCCCATATAATGGGAGAGTTGCCTCCTCTGGGGATGATGAGGGTATAACATATATAATCATAAGATTTCAGGGTTGAAAGAGACCTAGGTTGTCTCATCCTGTCCCCCCTGATTGTAAGGGAGGGGCAGAGAGTCGGGGTTTGGGCTCTGAAGTCAGGCTGTCTGAGTTTGGATCCCAGCTTGGGTTCATTTTTTTTTTTTTTTTTCCCCTTTTTCTCCCCAAAGCCCCAGTAGATAGCTGTATGTCATAGTAGCACAAACTTCTAGTCGCTGTATGTGGGACGCGGCCTCAGCATGGCCGGAGAAGCGGTGCATAGGTGCATCAGTGTGCGCCCGGGATCCGAACTCAGGCCACCAGTAGTGGAGCGCGCACTTAACCGCTAAGCCACGGGGCCGGCCCCCAGCTTGGGTTCTTATAACCTCTGTGCCTCAGTTTTCCCATCCGTAAAATGGAGATATGAATAGTACTTACGTTATAGGGTTGTTAGATTAAATGAGAAAATATAAGAAAAGCACTTAATTCACTGCTAGGCCATAATAAGTACTCAAAAAATGTTAGCTTTTCCTATTAATAATAATAATCGCTAACGTTTTTGTAGTGATATGTGCCAGGCTCGTGCATTCTTTTTTTTTTTCTCGGAGCAATTCATAACTATTATCTCATTTATTTATTTATTTATTTATTTTTGTGAGGAAGACTAGTCCTAAGCTAACATCCAATGCTGACCCTCCTCTTTTTTGCTGAGGAAGACTGGCCCTGGGCTAACATCCATGCCCATCTTCCTCTACTTTATATGGGATGCCGCCACAACATGGCGTGACAAGTAGTGCGTTTGTGTGCGCCTGGGATCCGAACCCACAAACCCTGGGCTGCTGAAGTGGAGTATGTACACTTAACTGCTTGTGCCACCGGGCTGGCCCCACTATTATCTCATTTAATTCTCATAAGAATTCCCTGTGATGGACAGAACAAGTGGTGCCCTATTTTACAGATGATGTAATTGAGGTGATGGTGACCTCCCCAGGGTCACTGGTAACAGACAGAACCTCAAGTTGTCCCGGGGTGGGAGGGAGCCCAGAGAACCCAAGTGGGCTATCTACAAGGCCTGCCCTGCCCCCCAGTGTCCCCCCACCCACCTCCGGCAGCTCAGTCCCTGCCTGTTGGCCCCCAGGTGACCTGGAGTACCAGATGTCCACGACTGCCAGAGCCAAGCGGGTGCGGGAGGCCATGTGTCCTGGCGTGACAGGCGAGGAGAGTTCGCTGCTGCTGGCCACCCAGGTGGAGGGGCAGACCACCAACCTGCAGCGGCTGGCCGAGCCATCCCAGCTGCTCAAGTCGGCCATCGTGCATCTCATCAATTACCAGGACGACGCTGAGCTGGCCACCCGGGCCCTGCCCGAGCTCACCAAGCTGCTCAATGATGAGGACCCGGTCCGTGAGGGGCCTTGCTGGGGTGGGGGCAGGGCAGGGAGGGGAGAGGTCCCGTGTCTGCAGGGGAGGGCCCTCCCCGGGCTGGAGGGAGGTCATCGACCCAGAGCCCCATCAGTGGGAAGAGTCTGACTTGGGTCCGTCTGAGCTTTGTGGAGGGGTCTCCTGGCCCCCCTTCCCACAGTGGCAGCCAGCCTGGCCCATCTGCTCACTTCTCCCATCCTTCCCTTCACCCCTCAGGTGGTGGTGACCAAGGCAGCCATGATCGTCAACCAGCTGTCGAAGAAGGAGGCGTCACGGCGGGCGCTGATGGGCTCCCCCCAGCTGGTGGCGGCCGTCGTGCGCACCATGCAGAACACCAGCGACCTGGACACGGCCCGCTGCACCACCAGCATCCTACACAACCTCTCCCACCACCGCGAGGGGCTGTTGGCCATCTTCAAGTCAGGCGGCATCCCTGCCCTGGTCCGCATGCTCAGGTACCCACCCCTACTCACCCCTCCCCCACTTGGGCTTCCCCGCTCCCTTCCCTGGGCTTCCGTGCATTTATTGAGCACCTACCATGTGCCAGGTGCAGAACCACCCCCAGTCCTGGTGCTCAGCTGCTCACAGCCCAGCAGGGGAGACAGGCATGTAACTAACTAGCAGGTTAGTTATCAGGATACAGGTGTGTCTGAGATTGCTGGGGCTCTGAGAAGCTGTTCACTCTAACAGACGGATGAGAGGAGTTTGGCCGGTATAGATGAAGGGAAGAGTCTTCCAGGCAGAGGGAATAGCATATGCAAAGTCTCTTGTTACCTTTGCCTTTCCTGGCCCTGTGATGTTGATCGGCTTCCTTCCTCATCCCCATACCTGGGAGTTCCCCGAGGATGGAGATATTGATCTCTCTCCCCTCTGAGCCCCTTGCAGGGCCTCTCTAGCATGTGGCCTTCCATGTGGTGCTTACTCTCAGTAGGGACCTACTATTCAAGGGGACCTACTATGCACTCAGCACTGGGCTGGGAGCCCAGGAGCAGGAGGAGTCATGGTCCCAATGGGGAGCAGAGAAGTGCTGTGTTCTCTGTGCATAAGAGTGGGGCTAGGTCAAGAGACGATGAGATTTTAGCAAAGGGCTCTTTCCATAGGGGTGTCGGTATTGGGGAAGGCTTCCTGGAGGAGGTGGCCCACATTTATGCCAGGCCCCTGGGCCCTGACCCACATTAACCCCCCTGCCCACCATCCCAGCTCCCCCGTGGAGTCGGTCCTGTTCTACGCCATCACCACGCTGCACAACCTGCTGCTCTACCAGGAGGGCGCCAAGATGGCGGTGCGCCTGGCGGACGGGCTGCAGAAGATGGTGCCCCTGCTCAACAAGAACAACCCCAAGTTCCTGGCCATCACCACCGACTGCCTGCAGCTGCTGGCCTACGGCAACCAGGAGAGCAAGGTGGGCCCTCCCACCCGCAGCCGAGACCCAGGGCCCACTGTTTCGTTGCCTTCCGTCCAGCTGCAGCTTCAGGCCGCTGCCTCCTTACCCCTTTAGGTTAAATGTCTATGTCTATGCAGATGGACATATTTCATCCTATAAGTGAATATTTTGAGAAAAAGAAAAAAAAAAATCCATCATCCTCACACAACCACTGTTATCTCGGTGCGCTGCCTCCAGTGCCCTCCCTGTGGTGGGGGCATATTTATACGTAGCTGTAGTCATAGCAATGTACAGCTTTGCCTCTGTTTTCTACATGATATTTTTATTTATTTATTTAATTTTATTTTTTTATAATTTTATTTATTTATTTATTTTTCC